TCTCCCCTTCTTCTGCGACACCGTGCAGATAGGGGCTTCTGAATGAGTGCGCCTGAATGCACTGTGGTTTTCTTTACTTCCTGGCGCTTCCAATGAAACAGTTCTGTACACTCAGTCTCAGCTCCAGCAAGCCACTTTTTCTTTGCGATGTCGCGATGTATTTTCACCAGGCGACCAGCTAGCCCATTACCTTTTCACTGGCGCGGCTTGCGCAATGCTGAGCGCGTAGCTGATTTGAGCGCGGGCCGGCTTCTATTAAAGGTAGGTGCAATGTTTCTCTTGGATAACAGCTAAGATTCGTCCGTGGTTTGTGCCCGTGACTCCCTTAAATCGAAATAAAATTTGTGTTGAATAACCTGAGTTGTATACTAATTTTATTAATCAATCCTCGTCTCATTCATGACAATATACGTGAAAAATCGTCTCGTTCACCCTATTCAGTGCCCAAACTCAGAATAAACCGTCCTGAGACGGCATCCTGTCATGTATGTCATTGACCTTTTGTGACCTAAAGCATGCCATTGGCCTTCCTTACGTTTCCTCTTTGCACGATGACTGTCATTCTTAACACGCGCTCGAGTGGAGGTCTAATTGATCTCCCTAAATGTTTTTTTTCTGAAATGGTTTTGGAACGGTATGGCGTAGCTACGCCAACTTTTGCATAGCTATGGACAATTACATCGTGAATTGGTTGCTATCAAACATTTATTTCTAGTTTGTAAGTCCGCTGGCCTATAGCGGGTCAAAGTAAGGCCATGGTTTTAGCGAAGTCAATGTCTAGGGAATCGTTCAGTCGGATTCAACAGCCGAGTATTAGACGAAGCCTACATCAATGAGATACTTTCTTGGGCAACACAATAATTGAATGAACAAATTACATTGACCAAGGCTCAGGTATGAAGGTCAGACCAAGGCCAAAACCAACCTGTTTTATTATTCTAGGACTTGCTGTATGAGGTAGTTTCTGGTGCTCATTTCGAATCTATCAATAACAGGCACCGCGTTATACACCCTCCATGGAGTTCTTAACGGTCGGAATATGCCACTGACTTAAAATAACCCAGGTCAACACTTTGTTCTTAGGAGCATACTGTCTAACGTAATCTTTGTCGCTTATTCAAATGCAAAACTCAAAGCAGTAATGTATTTTTTGGGCACCATAACCTTCAAAAGGTCAAACTAGGTCACTTACGAGCATGTGACCTTTTATAAGTTGTTCAGTGCGTCAGCGAAGAACTTGAGTCACATAGATAAGACAGCAGTATAAGCCTTGTTTCTCGGAAAAAAACAGAAGAATACAAATATAGTTAACTTCTGCTATTGTTTCGAGAAAGGTATGTTGCCGAAACATCAACCTAACTATATATCCATTCTTCTGGTTTTTCCGAGGAATAATGCCAATGCTACTGTCTTATCTATGTGACCGTTTGCTTAGAACAGTTATCTAGGTTTTAGGGGCTAGGAGACCAACCCGTAATTTGACTTTGTTTTACCTTATTTGACCCGAAGGCCATGACCTAGAAGCCTCAAACTTTGATCTAAGTGAGTTCACGTACAGGCCAACAAACCATGTGCATTTAATGTCTCTAGCTCTCTTAGTTCCTGAGATCTCAGGGGGGTCAAATTAACCCCCCCACCAGGGCGAAGGGTATACCAACCGGCCATCCGGGCGCGTGTTGACCAAGGTTGTGATCACCAACCGAGGTAAACACCTACTTCTCGCCTGAAAAAGCATTGGGCTAGGACAAAACAAAACCCTTATCGTCTTGGGAGCCATCGTAGCTCAATCGTCTTGCTAGCCCTCAGTAATGACGTAACAGCTTGGTGGCCGACATGACCCAGGCTGCACTTGGTCAAAATGTGCGCAACAGGGGCATTGTCAGCACAAATAATTTCACATTGCTGTTGCGCGCCACACTACACTGGTCCCGGCAACATTGCTGTTGCGCGCCACACTACACTGGTCCGGCAACATTGCTGTTGCGCGCCACACTACACTGGTCCCGGCAACACTACTTGAGTTAGAGGGGAGGGTGCTCCACATCCCTCGTCCCGCAACGACTAAATAAAAAGATAAAGGGATTGTTCTACATTTGGAGATGATGGAGGAGGCACCATATATAATGAGCTCGCTTATAACTGTTGGTATACTTTTATGTGAAAAGGTTGCACAACTGGACCACTACCACTAGGCTTTTGCTAGACACGACCATATATTTGCTAAGCATGTTCCTCATTACGTCATTGCTTGATAACGTGATCGTACCATGCGGGACATTGATTGGGAGCCAATTGGCGGCCGTTATATTTGGAATTCGCACTCACAAATGCCTGATTTGAACGAATAAACAGCTTTCTTTTTCTCGGTTTTGATCGCCACATGGCCAACGGGATGACAGGGTTTGAATAGGGTTATCATGGCGTCATTGATAACTGAGTGACCTTAGAATAGTCTCCCCGAGACAGTTCTTATATTTTCGCGGGCGTGAAGCTCAGACACTAGAAAGGTTTACTTAGAGCTCAAGAAGAGCAGGGCTGTGCACTGCACCGAATGACCTTTAGTATGGCTAATTCGGTTCAAAACTCAAAAAAGTTTAGAATACTTCCTTTATGTAATGATACCTATTTGAAATGATTAACCGCATCCAGTCTCCTTTGGCTTGGACTACTTGAGACGCAACATAAATGTTGTTTCGAGAACATACGCAAGACAACGCCATCTTAAGCCGGTAAATGACGCATATCACGGTGCTATTCCTATGCTGTTTCGCGATGACAAGGTAGCTTTCTAATCATGGTAAACTGGACTTTCTATGAGACCCCTAATTTTGAGAGCTGTTTCAACAAAGGTATCGATCAATAGCACCAAAGATTGTTAACTCTTAACGCAAAAATTCCGGAAGCCCAAGGTCTGCCTTGCTTACAGGGGTGTCACTTTGTATGATTTCGGTGGGCCCGACCTTCCCTTCCATGCCGACTCGAGCCCCCCCCCCCAAATTTTCCTCTGAGACTGCCGCCCCCAGTGGTGTGTGAGCAAGGAGGGAATACTGGGCCAATAAAATGCTGCAATTGTGTGAACTGCTGTTCCACTAGGCACGTTAACACATCGCTATCAATATCTCCATCATATATCACCATCATCACCATTGCTCTGCTTCTGCCCGGCTGGCCTGGCGGGACGCGCCTCCAGCTGCCGGGCCGCCGCCCAGCGCCGTGCGGCCCGTTGCCTGAGGCGCCGGTCGACCGACGGCGCCAGGGGTACCAGGGCGCTGTTAAAACGCTGCTATTGGCTCGAGAGCGGTGGGCGGGGTAATGCTGCATATGTGTCTAACTGTAAGGGCACCGTCACCCCCATCAATTCTGTGGAAACTCACCTATGCTGCATTGCTCTTTCTCCAGAGGGCACAACCATCACATCGACTTCAAATGGGAAGTCATTCCTCAACAACAAATAAATGTTGGAGCCAACAAACACTTTTTACATTAGGGCCGTAAATCAAAAATCAAAGTGCAATAATCCGTAAACCAGTCAAGATTTAAGGTACGCTAGTTTTGCTTTGTTGGTCCGGCCCCCGCCCCCGGCCAATTCTGAACTGTAAATGATAGCCAGGAAAATCTAGATGCGTTGTAGATGCATTGAAAGGTGAGATGGTAACAGAAAAAAGGTGGGCTTGGGTGGGGATTCCGCCCTACCTGCCGGGAATTGGGTAAAACATGTAAGCATCCAAGGATGTCATCATCCAGCGTTATGTCTTTACTTGGTGCGCACCAAGTCCCTGTTCGTTACGGTGCACAGCAGGTGAATGAAGGGCCGGTGGCGGCAGTTGGCGTTCGCGCATCTCGGCCGCATGCACGGGTCCATTCCTACTTCGGGTACTGATAGCGCGTGCTTACGGTGGCGCGTCTGGGAAAACCAGAGGTACGAGGCTCGATTCACCTCGGTGTCCGTGCTTCCGTCAGGTTAGAGGCAGGCGACGCCATGTAGTCTCAGCAGTTCGGCGCCTTGTACAGCTCCAAGGGCGCGCGGCTTGTCTCGCGCCAGGGCTGTAAACGAAGTGCAACTCGGGGAGAAGGAAGGCCATTTAATGATAAAACGGGGAGATGACCTTTTCTTTGCGTAATGCATACGGTGAGAGGCTGTAGCATTTAATATGTGCACCGGCCTTGGCTTAGGGCATCCTTTGGACATGGACCTCGACAAGGGGAAGCTTCTGGACGGACTTCGCTGGCCCGCCTGGCCCAGGATAAGCCAGCTCATCGCCGTTACTTAAAAAGCTTGCGATGGCGACTCTCATCTGCCTGTCAACATAAGGGAACCGATGCTGCCGCTGGGCGTAGAACTTAACTGCATTTGGCTACGATTCATCTTCTTTGATTAATCACTTAGGATTTTACAAAATGCCTTGTAGAACCGTCAATGGGAAAACGCAGTTTTTTAGCTGTTAGTTTTTCTAGTTGAAACTAAACACAGCTGCCAAACATGTGCACATAAGTTACGTTTATACTGGCATCGGAATGTCTGCTATATGAGGCCGTGATATCGCATTACGAATTATGCAATTTTTGACCTGGTCTTATGTAGCATGAGGCCGCCTTGAGAGTTGACCTGTTTTGAACAGCTAGCTCGGCATAAGAAGCTTTCCTTCTTCAGGTTGTTGGGCACGCTACAGGTCTGTTGGTCATTCGCAACAAAAAAGTACCTATCACAGAAAAGCAAAAGGTAGGTATGCACCCAATTTTGCAAAATAATCACAACTGTGTAAGCAAACTCCAAACATCCAAGCAAACTC